CAGGAATGCTGAGGGAGCTGCTTCGGTCCTGAGGAGGTCACTCTGCAAAATCTTGGAAGATTTTGTGCCTGGGAGTGCTTCCTGAAGGCGGACAGAGAGCTCCTGGCCTTGTGTCTTGAGTGGGGTCAGGGGAGAGGATCAGGAAAAAGTGAGGCTGTTCAGGCTCTATGTGTTACAGTGTGATGGTCCATTTGGATTTCCTAAATTTAAACAGCAACCTAATCTGTCTTTTAAAATGTATTTCTTGACCTCTGACAGAAATTTAAGAAATAAACAACAAATGGAGCCCAACCCGTTGCTCCCAGGCTGGTCCGTGACGTCAATTCGTTTATTCCGCATTCAAGCCGTAAGGTTTCACAATTTATATCCTCTGAGTTTTGGTAATATGTTCCTCATAGCAAATACCTATTAATTACTAATGGATGCACAACAACCTCCTCTTTCCTTCACTGCCATTATTTGGGCACTTCTTTGTGGAATTCTCAGATTCCACGTCCTTCTCTTGAGGCCGTGTCCATCTCACCCTGGCAGCAGCCTTTAAGTGTGCCTTTTGGAGATGAAATTTTGGTGTTGTGGGTGCAGCATGAAGAGGTGACCAAAGCTTTGCAGAACTGAGGCCGCCCTGCAGCCCTGGCTTGCCGTGGTCTGTGGCTGTGTTGGGGAAAGTTCCCCCAGCCTCTCTCGGCCCTGACAAGCTGCTCTGGGCTTTGCTGCTGTTCCAGGTACCTGGTGTTGCCCCTTCCACCCCATTCCCTCTCTCCACGCAGTTTCCCCAGCTGTCAAAGCCTGACTGGAGACATCACCTTTATCATCAGTCATGCTCTGAGGGTGCCTTGCTGTCCCCTCCTGTCTGCAAGTTTTACAGTGATGGAAGGATTTGATATTCAGGGCTTTTGGGATCTTTACTTGGACTGAGTGTGGAGGAGCAAGATCACTTCCCTGGGCAATGTCTGATTTGCAGAAAGAGGGTTTGGAAATTGTCCAGGGTTTTTGGAGTGAGTATTGCACAATGCTCAACAAGCCAGGCAAGTCCAGGTGTCCAGTGTGGTGGCCTGAGAAGGATCTGAATGGCAGGGCCCAGAAGGCTGAGGTCTGGGATGTCCTTCAAACAGGCAGAAGCTGAGAGAGCTGGGAGCTCTTTTAGGCAGGAGGCAAGAATGCAAATGGGACGTGTTCCCAATATGCCATGGAATGACCTCGGATGACACCCGAGTTCTCCTCAGCTTTGGCTGAACCTTCTACGTGCCCTGACACGCCCCACCAACAGCCACACACTGGTCTCTAATTCTGGCAGTTCAGAGGAGCCGCCAAGGTCAGATGGACACAGCCCCAAGGGAAGGACATGAAACTGCACAACTCCAGGAAGGAAAACACTCCCCACCTCAGGACTCACCAGGCTGGGCAAGGCAAAAGCTGCTGCCTCAAAAATGCCCCAAGGCCATGGGACAAGGCTGTCCCACCCCTCCAGGATCAGCATAAAAGCCGGCCCAGAGCCTCTCTCCCTCACACACTTCTTCTCACACCTCCTGCTCCTGCAGACAGCCAGGTGAGTCTCAAACCCCTGACCCTCCTGATCCTGCACCCCTGGCCTCTCTCTGGCAGCACCCTCAGCCCCAGCCTCAGCAGCCCTCACGCCTCCCCACAGCCCCACAACAGCCTCCACACTCCATCACTACCCCTTGCAACCCTCACCCCCGCTCTGCATTACCTCCTTCTCTTCCAGGCAACCTCCACACCACACCCATGGCCTGCAACAACATCTGCAATCCCTGCGGACCCACCCCGCTGGCCAACAGCTGCAACGAGCCCTGTGCCCTGCAATGCCAGGATTCCCGAGTTGTTATCCAGCCTTCCCCTGTGCTGGTCACCCTGCCAGGACCCATCATGACCTCCTTCCCGCAGAGCACCGCCGTCGGATCCACCTCCTCGGCTGCCGTGGGCACTGAGCTCAGTGTGCAGGGACAGCCCATCTCTGGCGGATTTGGTGGCTTTGGCTACGGCCTTGGCTATGGCCGTGGATTTGGCTACGGCCTGGGAGGCCTGGGCTGCTATGGCAGGAGGGGTGGCTACATCTGCTAAGGGCCCTCAGCACCACCCCTGACACCAACCACCCACTCCCTGGAACACATCGCAGGCATTGAGGACACATCTCTGGGCCAAGGCTTTCAAATGGGCTCAGCAATTCCAGTTCCTTTGATGCCTTAAGGAATCTCCTGCTCTCAGGGCTCCGAGCATGGCAGCTGCCAAGGGTCCAGCCTGGGCTGCCTGCAAACATGGCCCATCTGCCTCTCGCTCTTCTCCCACTCCTTTTCAGCACTATCCAGTCCCCACTTCTGCAAATCCCTTCTCCCAACCCAGAGACCATTGTGAACCTTCACCATCCGGCTGCTTCTTCTCTGGAGCAGGAAGGCCTTGACGCTCTGGCCAAACCACTGCAATCAAAGGACCTTGGCTGGTGGTCACCCTACTTCTCCCTCAGACCAGCTCCCTTCTACCGGCTGCTCCTGACCTCTCACTGTTCTTCTGCCTCAATAAAATTCTCCTGCCTTGCAACAAGAGACTTCTCCTTACACTTCCTTCTGGCTAAGGTGTGCCAACAACACTTGGCACAAATCCGTGTCACTACACGCCATTTGGTGAGGGTGCAAATTGCACCAACACCTCTCTTGCAATTGGTTCTGCAGTTCCACTGCCCACTGGGACACACTGACACACTTGGTGGCCATCACACAGAAGAATTTCACTTGCTTAATCTCGGCCTGGACACACCAATGCAGGTCTATCCTTGATTCTGCCACAAGACCCTCATGGGAGCTGTGTTCATTTTGGCTGGACATTGTTTGCTCCACACCCTCATCCTCTTCCAGCCCCATTTACAGATCCGCTCAACCTGCTTCATGTCTCCCTTATTTTCATGTCCCAGAGTTGAACACAAATTTCCAATCCACTCCAAACAGGGAGAGGGGAAGAATTCCCAACCCTTCACATTCTGCCCATGCCGTGGACATGAGCCCAGGACATGGGGAGTTTCTGGTCACCTCCTTCACGTGGTGGGGCAGCTCCAGTTCTTCACCACCAACACTCCAAGGCTTTCTCCTCTCGACTGCTCTCAATCCAATCATCATCAAGTCTACAGCCATCTTTGGACTTGCTTCAAATCACATGCAGGACCTTGCACTTTTCCTTGTTCAGCTTCATGAAAATGACAATATCCCACATTCCCAACCTGTTCCAGCCCCTCTGAATGCCATCCCTTCCCTCCAGACAACCAACCCCACCACTCAGCTTGGAGTGGTCCCTGCTTTTGCTGATCACCCCACTACATCCCAGCACCCTGATTACTGACAGTGATTCAAAATTTTAACAATCCCAACATGAGTCTGTCTGGGTCACCACTCATCCCCGCTCTCCACAAAGGGACGTGGAGCCATTGACCACAAATCTCTGAGTGACACCATCCCGCCCACTCCTTACCCACCAAATGCTCCAACCAACATCCACATCTCTCCAGCTTGGAGACAAGGATGTTGTCTGGCACAGGAACAAAGGACTTGCACAACTCCAGGTGCAGGATACTGGCACCTCTTCCCTCATCCACCCATTTTGGGCTGAATACCAACTCATCAAAGCTGCTGCCAAGGTCAGAAGGGCACGGCCTCGAGAGCAGGACACGGAAGTGCAGAGCTGTGGGAAGCAAAGCATTCCCAACCTCGTCACTCACCAGGCTGTGCCAGGCAAGAGCAGCTGGCCTGGAAAATGCCCCAATGTCATGGACAATGGCTACCCAAAACCTTCAGTCATGGATCATCCTTGAGGCCGTGCTCTGGATATCCCTCCCCTGAGTCTTGTCTTCCTTGTTCCCAGTAACCCAGAGATTCACGGACTTCTCCACAATCATCAGAGCAGAGCAGGGACAGAATCTGCTGCACCTGGATTGGAGCAATCCCAACCATGCAGGATAAAGGCTGGGGGATGAGGGGATTGAGCCCATGGAGCAGCACTTGGGGTGCTGGTGCATGAAGTATTGGACATGCCCTGCCATGTGAATGCACCAAACAGAAACCCCTCTGTGTCCTGGGCTCATCCCCAGAGCATGGGTGGCAGGTGAGGAGGGGATTCTGCTCCTCTGCTCCACTCTGGTGAGACTGGAGATGTGATTTGTTTTCCCAGCTCTGGGACCTGGAAAAAAGGAAGACATGGACCAGATCAGCCAGAGCTGGAGATCACCCTGGAAGACAATGACAGGCAGGAGCAACGGGAGTCCAGAAAAATTGCACACACCACCCACAAGGGGCTTGTGCCAGGGGCAGGGATAGACCTGCATTGGGGTATCCAGGTTTGTGGTTCAATAGAAGGGTTCATGTGATAACGCACTGGAAGTGCAAAATACGGCCATGAGTAGTGGAACTGCAAAAATAATACCTAAGAGTGATCTTGGTGCATTTTTAAACCATCCCATGTGGCCTCTACAAGCCTGGCTTAGTGCTGAGTGAGACTGGAGGAAGCTTGGGAGAAGAAAGAAGGAGTCACCTGAGGTAGTGATGCAAGAAACCTTTATTGAGGTAGAAGAGTGAAAACTCAGGAGCAGCCAGTGGAAGGGAGCTGGTCTGAGGTGCAAGGAGGGCCAGCATCAGCCAAGGCCCCTTCCTTTGGCGAGGTTTGGCCAGAGCATCGAGGCTTTCCTGCCCTGCCATGGGAGCAGCACAATGGCGGAGGTGCCCGATGGCCTCTGGGTTCAGAGAAGGGGTTTGTCCAGAGGGGGCTGGACAGAGCTGAAGGGTCCTTGCAGAGCAGGGAGGAGGAGAAGAGCAGGAGGCAGATGGGCCATGTTTGGGGACAGCCTGGGCTGCCCCCTTGGCTGCTGCCTTGCTTGGTGCCCTGAGAGCAGGAGCTGGAAGAGCTGAGTCTGCTTGAGTGCCTTGTCCCAGAGATCCGTCCTCAATGCCTGAGATGTGTTCCAGGGAGTCACTGGTTGGTGTCAGGGGTGGTGCTGAGGGCCCTTAGCAGATGTAGCCACCCCTTCTGCCAGAGCAGCCCAGGCCTCCCAGCCCATAGCCAAATCCACGGCCATAGCCAAGGCCGTAGCCAAAGCCACCAAATCCGCCAGAGATGGGCTGTCCCTGCACACTGAGCTCAGTGCCCACGGCAGCCGAGGAGGTGGATCCGACGGCGGTGCTCTGGGGGAAGGAGGTCATGATGGGTCCTGGCAGGGTGACCAGCACAGGGGAAGGCTGGATAACAACGCGGGAATCCTGGCATTGCAGGGCACAGGGCTCGTTGCAGCTGTTGGCCAGCGGGGTGGGTCCGCAGGGACTGCAGAGGCTGTTGCAGGCCATGGGTGTGGTGTGGAGGGTGCCTGGAAGAGAAGGAGGTAATGCAGAGCAGGGGTGAGGGTTGCAAGGGGTAGTCATGGAGTGTGGTGGTTGTTCTGTCGCTGTGGGGAGGTGTGAGGGCTGCTGAGGCTGGGGCTGAGCGTGCTGGAAGAGAGGGGCCAGGAGTGCAGGATCCGGAGGGTCAGGGGAGGGAGGCTCACCTGGTTCTTGGAAGAAGCAGCAGGAGAAGGCGTCAGGAGAAGTGTGTGAGGGAGAGAGGCTCTGGGCTGGCTTTTATGCTGGTCCTGGAGAGGTGGGACAGCCTTGTCCCGTGGCCTTCGGGCATTTTGAGACAGCAGCTCTTGCCTGCCCCAGCCTAGCATGAGGTCATGATGTGAGGAGTGCTTTCATTCATGCAATTGCGCAATTTCATATCCTGCTCTTGAGGCCATGTCCATCTGACCTTCGAGGCAGCGTTCTGGCAGGAGTTGGTATTTGGGGGGATTTGGTTGTTCCGTGTTTGTCAAGGAGGATGGAATAAGCAACCACAGCCCTGGAGATTTGCAATCTCATCAGTGAGGCCATTTTGTGGTACTTAGATGCTGTGGTTTGTGGCTGCCTTGTGAAGACTGGGACTCTGTTCTCTGCCATTGGATGTCCAGCAGTCATTCTGTTGCACCCAGGAATGCTGAGGGAGCTGCTGATGAGCTCCTGGGGGGTCACTCTGCAAAATCTTGGAAGATTTTGTGCCTGGGCGTGTTTCCTGATGGCGGACAGAGAGCTCCTGGCCTTGTGTCTTGAGTGGGGTCAGGGGAGAGGATCTGGAAAAAGTGAGGCTGTTCAGGCTCTATGTGTTACAGTGTGATGGTCCATTTGGATTTCCTAAATTTAAACAGCAACCTAATCTGTCTTTTAAAATGTATTTCTTGACCTCTGACAGAAATTTAAGAAATAAACAACAAATGGAGCCCATCCCATTGCTCCCAGGCTGGTCCGTGACGTCAATTTGTTTATTCCGCATTCAAGCCGTAAGGTTTCACAATTTATATCCTCTGAGTCTTGGAATTATGTTCCTCTTAGCAAATACCTATTAATTACTGACATAGGGTCAGCAACCCCCTCTTCCCTTCACTGCCATTATTTGGGCATTTCTTTGTGGAATTCTCAGATTCCACGTCCTTCTCTTGAGGCTGTGTCCATCTCACCTTGGCGGCAGCCTTTAAGTGTGCCTTTTGGAGATGAAATTTTGGTGTTGTGGGTGCAGCATGAAGAGGTGACCAAAGCTTTGCAGAACTGAGGCCGCCCTGCAGCCCTGGCTTGCCGTGGTCTCTGGCTGTGTTGGGGAAAGTTCCCCCAGCCTCTCTCGGCCCTGACAAGCTGCTCTGGGCTTTGCTGCTGCTCCAAGTACCTGGTGTTGCCCCTTCCACCCCATTCCCTCTCTCCACACAGTTTCCCCAGCTGTCAAAACCTGACTGGAGACATCACCTTCACCATCAGTCATGCTCTGAGGGTGCCTTGCTGTCCCCTCTTGGCAGGAAGTTTTACAGTGATGGAAGGATTTGATATTCAGGAGTTTTGGGATCTTTACTTGGATTGCGTGTGGAGGAGCAAGATCACTTCTCTGGGCAATGTCTGATTGACAGAAAGAGGCTTTGGAAATTGTCCAGGGTTTTTGGAGTGAGTATTGCACGATCCTCAATAACCCAGGCAAGTCCAGGTGTCCAGTGTGGTGGCCTGAGAAGGATCTGAATGGCAGGGCCCAGAAGGTTGAGGTCTGGGATGTCCTTCAAACAGGCAGAAGCTGAGAGAGCTGGGAACTCTTTCAGGCAGGAGGCAAGAATGCAAATGGGAGATGTTCCCAATATGCCATGGAATGACCTCGGATGACACCCGAGTTCTCCTCAGCTTTGGCTGAACCTTCTACGAGCCCTGACACGCCCCGCCAACAGCCACACACTGGTCTCTAATTCTGGCAGTTCAGAGGAGCCCCCAAGGTCAGATGGACACAGCCCCAAGGGAAGGACATGAAACTGTACAACTCCAGGAAGGAAAACACTCCCCACCTCAGGACTCACCAGGCTGGGCAAGGCAAGAGCTGCTGCCTCAAAAATGCCCCAAGGCCATGGGACAAGGCTGTCCCACCCCTCCAGGATCAGCATAAAAGCCGGCCCAGAGCCTCTCTCCCTCACACACTTCTCCAGGCTCCATCTGCTCCTGCTTCTTCTAAGAACCAGGTGAGCTTCAAACCCCTGACCCTCCTGCCCCTGCACCCCTGGCCCCTCTCTTCCAGCACGCTCAGCCCCAGCCTCAGCAGCCCTCACGCCTCCCCACAGCCCCACAACAGCCTCCACACTCCATCACTACCCCTTGCAACCCTCACCCCTGCTCTGCATTACCTCCTTCTCTCTTCCAGGCGCCCTCCACTCCACACCCATGGCCTGCAACAACATCTGCAGTCCCTGCGGACCCACCCCGCTGGCCAACAGCTGCAACGAGCCCTGTGCCCTGCAATGCCAGGATTCCCGAGTTGTTATCCAGCCTTCCCCTGTGCTGGTCACCCTGCCAGGACCCATCATGACCTCCTTCCCGCAGAGCACCGCCGTCGGATCCACCTCCTCGGCTGCCGTGGGCACTGAGCTCAGTGTGCAGGGACAGCCCATCTCTGGCGGATTTGGTGGCTTTGGCTACGGCCTTGGCTATGGCCGTGGATTTGGCTATGGCCTGGGAGGCCTGGGCTGCTATTGCAGGAGGGGCGGCTACATCTGCTAAGGGCCCTCAGCACCACCCCTGACACCAACCACCCACTCCCTGGAACACATCGCAGGCATTGAGGACACATCTCTTGGCCAAGGCCTCAAATGGGCTCAGCAATTCCAGTTCCTTTGATGCCTTAAGGAATCTCCTGCTCTCAGGGCTCCGAGCATGGCAGCTGCCAAGGGTCCAGCCTGGGCTGCCTGCAAACAAGGCCCATCTGCCTCTGGCTCTTCTCCCACTCCTTTTCAGCTCTATCCAATCCCCTCTTCTACAAATCCCTTCTCCCAACACAGAGGCCATTGTGAACCTTCACCATCCGGCTGCTTCTTCTCTGGAGCAGGAAGGCCTTGACGCTCCGGCCAAACCACTGCAATCAAAGGACCTTGGCTGGTGCTCGCCCTACTCGTCCCTCAGACCAGCTCCCTTCTACCGGCTGCTCCTGACCTCTCACTGTTCTTTTGCCTCAATAAAATTCTCTTGCCTTGCAACAAGAGACGTCTCCTTACACTTCCTGCTGGCTAAGGTGTGCCAACAACACTTGGCACAAATTCGTGTCACTACACGCCATTTTGTGAGGCTGCAAATTGCACCAACACCTCTCTTGGAATTGGTTCTGCAGTTCCACTGCCCACTGGGACACACTGACACACTTTGTGGCCATCACACAGAAGAATTTCACTTGCTGAATCCCTGGTCTGGGCACACCAATGCAGGTCTATCCTTGATTCTGCCACAAGCCCCTCATGGGTGCTGTGTTCATTTGGGCTGGACACTGTTTGCTCCACACCCTCATCATCTTCCAGCCCCATTTACAGATCCGCTCAACCTGCTTCATGTCTCCCTTATTTTCATGTCCCAGAGTTGAACACAAATTTCCAATCCACATCAAACAGGGAGAGGGGCAGAATTTCCCCCCCATTCACCTTCTGCTCATGCCGTGGACATGAGCCCAGGACATGGGGAGTTTCTGGTCAGCTCGTTCACGTGGTGGGGCAGCTCCAGTTCTTCACCCACCAACACTCCAAGGCTTTCTCCTCTCGACTGCTCTCAATCCAATCATCATCAAGTCTACAGCCATCTTTAGAATTGCCTCCAACCACATGCACGACACCTTGCACTTGGCCTTGTTCAGCTTCATGAAAATGACAATATCCCACATTCCCAACCTGGTTCAGCCCCTCTGAATGCCATCCCTTCCCTCCAGACAACCAACCCCACCACTCAGCTTGGAGTGGTCCCTGCTTTTGCTGATCACCCCACTAAATCCCAGCACCCTGATTTCTGACAGTGATTCAAAATTTTAACAATCCCAACATGAGTCTTTCTGGGTCACCACTCATCCCCGCTCTCCACACAGGGATGTGGAGCCATTGACCACAAATCTCTGAGTGACACCATCCCGCCCACTCCTTATCCACCAAATGGTCCAACCAACATCCACATCTCTCCAGCTTGGAGAAGGGGATGTTGTCTGGCACAGGAACAAAGGACTTGCACAACTCCAGGTGCAGGATACCGGCACCTCTTCCCTCATCCACCCATTTTGGGGTGAATACCAACTCATCAAAGCTGCTGCCAAGGTCAGAAGGGCACGGCCTCGAGAGAAGGACACGGGATTGCAGAGCTGTGGGAAGCAAAGCGTTCCCAACCTCGTCACTCACCAGGCTGTGCCAGGCAAGAGCACCTGGCCTGGAAAATGCCCCAATGTCATGGACAATGGCTGTCCACAACCTTCAGCCATGGATCATCCTTGAGGCTGTGCTCTGGATATCCCTCCCCTGAGTCTTGTCTTCCTTGTTCCCAGTAACCCAGAGATTCACGGAGTTCTCCACAATCATCCGAGCAGAGCAGGGGCAGAATCTGCTGCACCTGGATTGGAGCAATCCCAAGCATGCAGGATAAAGGCTGGGGGATGAGGGGATTGAGCCCAAGGAGGAGCACTTGGGGTGCTGGTGGATGAAGTATTGGACATGCCCTGCCATGTGAATGCACCAAACAGAAACCCCTCTGTGTCCTGGACTCATCGCCAGAGAATGGGTGGCAGGTGAGGGGGGGATTCTGCTCCTCTGCTCCACTCTGGTGAGACTGGAGATGTGAGTTCAGCTCTGGGACCTAGAAATGAGGAAGAGATCGACCTGCCCAGACAGAACTGGAGATCACCCTGGAAGACAATAACAGGCAGGAGCAACGGGAGTCCAGAAAAATTGCACACAGCACCCACAAGGGGCTTGTGCCAGGGGCAGGGATAGACTTGCATTGGGGTGTCCAGG